TTTTACGATGTTGGGAATTGGGTTACTTTTTATTTCAAACATTGGGTGTTAAGATTTAAGTGCCATGGTTAAGCCTAGTACACATGATCAGAAGATCGTATGAAAAATACCACTTTCAAAGTGATCGTACGATAATGTAATCTTTATTACACAGCTTTCGTCTGAAATTATTCTCAGAGACGAGCACAAATTGTTTCTTGTACAAGATAATAGATTTTCATTTAATCAGTACAGTTTTCGTCTGAAAATACAATACAATATATTACATCACTTTCAAATTTTTATTCTGTCGTACAAGAATTTTCGTAATTTTTGTAACATCTTCATTTTCGATATGGAGACTAGCATGCGAAAAAAAAAAAATGGATGATCATTTGTCCGATATTCTCGTTGTGTGTACAGGGCTTTAGGCTAAGCAATACATTAAATCTGTCATAAAAGAAACATTTTAAGACTTGGTTTGGGGGAGTGTTCATTCTGAGTAAGTGACTTAAATAATAGGTTGCCTTTAGCATTCAGGATTTGTGCAGGATAAATTTATTATTAGACTTTTGCCCATAGTTGAAAAGTCTGCACTGGGAACTCTCTGATGCTGGGCTGTCAGTGTCACATAACAATCTACTGAAACTATTAGATGTACTCAGTAGAGTAGTGCAAGTAACTGTGATAATGAGCAGATGCCAGACTTGCATATAATTTTGATGGGTATAAATTCTGGTTATATTGATTTTGGGAATTGGTGTTGTATTGTGCTATTTTAGACAAAATGATTTAACTGACCACTATAGATATACAGCAAGTCTTTGGGACTTAGACTGATATCAGTTGGTGCCTTCAAGGTGTTTGGCAAAATATGCAGAAATTCATGTGATGCATCAAAGGTCTTTATTATACCCAGTACATGGCCATCTGTTGAACAAAAAAACAAAATTTTTGTTTTGTAGTATAGCTATTGCTGAATCTTTTGATTGGAGCTGGGGATGTGAATGGATATCTACATCTGCTTACACTGCAAACTTTTATAAAATTGGTGGCTTTCTTCATCTTAGGTTGTAGACAATGAAATGTGAACCTTCTAGATTGATGTGCAGGCAGTATATAACAAAGTCCTAAAGGAACATGGTGGACAGAATTTATTTGTATTTAAACATTGTAAGGTTATTGCTGTGTGTGATACTGATTCACTACAACTATGAACATTTTGCAGAGTTCACAAAGTTTGACAGAATTGCATTTTGAAGAATTTGTCCAGCCCTGTAGTTATCTCTAAGAGTGGTTAGCCAGTCAGATACACATGTCAGGCATGGTATGGCCAACCTATGGAAAACAGGTAATGAAGCTGACCTATAGGCAATTCTGAAGTATACAATTTAATCCAGCTGTGTGCTTGTTAATACATCATTAAATGTAATATTTCAAAGGCAACCAGTGTACATACCTCTATATGACTAGGTACAAGGATCTTGCAATCCACTATACAGCAGACCTCAGACTGGGAGAGGAAGCATAAGGAGACAGTCAGTTGTGGTACAGTGCTTATATGCTAACAAGGCTCTTCTATCCATTTACACCTGACTGCCTTCTGAGTCGATCCACCGAGGTGGACAGATCCCCTTTGGTATTTTTCTAGCTGACCACATCGGATTGAGGTAGGCAGGTGTAAATGGACATAAGTCTGTTGACACCCATCAGTCCATAAGGATACATGGACCATCCAATCAGGTCCACCTGAAAATCTGATCAGGGCTGCCCATGTGAAAGAAGTCTAAGTGTTACTTACAGGTCAACTACAACTTTAGCTGTCCTGTGCTGCCAGATTTTAAAAAACTAGATTTCTCAAGAAGCGCGACAGAGATAGTTTGGAGTACTGTGGATTGTACAATATTTGGTCAATGCATGGTCAATAAATAATCATTTTGGAAATCCAAACCATTAAAGAGTAGGGCGGTTGGAATTCTCAATTCAGCTGTTCATCTCTATGAAAATCAAAGGTAAGTAAGAAAGCCAGCTATTGGTAGTAGTGAAGGGGTCGCTTGACATTTACAGAATAGGCAATGTTCATTTATTCAGAATTGATTGTATTTTGGAGGAATCCCATTTCTTCACAGTGATCAGATCTCTATATGTACAGCCAACTTCAACCTCTGCTCTTCCTCTTCTAAGGTGGCCAGTATATTACAGCACCACTGAGAACATCTAAAGAACTCTCTAAAAGTTTCTGATTCTTGTTTAATGACTTTAACTTTTTCATATCTAGGGAAGAAAAAAAAACAAATTGTTCTTTGGAATTTTTCTCGACAACCAATTTGTTTGCCTGTACAGTTATTTCGTTATCATTGAAGAGCAAATAGGAGACACACTTTATTTAATGGAGCAGTACATTAAACTAAAATGCACTAGTTGTTCCATTAAATCAAAATGACATACCCATTAGGTATCTACAGTATATTACATTGCAATTAAATGAACTGTGGACCATTGATTTCTTTTCTCCTTCCATTCGCTGCTGGTATTGATACGGTCCTGCTTGTGGAATAGTGCAGCATGTCACAATATAATTACCATTGCTATTTTTGGTTTGTTGTTGTCACAGAATTCCTTAGTAAGTTCTTTCAGTGAGTAGTAGACTTGTAATTTTAACTGGAAAATTGTGAATCTCATGGTAGATTAGTAGAGTTTGTTTAACCAGAAGAGTTGTTACAACTATGGAATTTACAATAGGTAAAAGACTTCTGGTAAAAGGTTATAACAACCTTGACTGAAAATGGAGATTTTCTTTGATATGGTCTCATAAAAATATTTCAGTGAAACCTAAAAGAGAAGTTTGGAGGGTTTTTTTTCCCAAATTGTACTTACCTAGGTGGATGAATTCCCCCCCAATATCGATGGGACTTTATAGGCAACAGACTTCTATTAAAAGTATTATAATGATCTTTATTTTAATCTAATCAAAAACAACTTTCAGAGTATTTCTACTACCGTATATACATATAAAATAATTGTACATACAAAAATTGTTACAAAGTTTTACATATTTTACAGAGGTTTACAATCAATACGCGTTTCGGAGACTATGGCTCCTTCTTCAGGGGTAACTCTGTAGACAGTACAATGAAATCTGAAATAATATATGTTATTAGAACAAACAGTCTTGTATATGGCATTTCTGGTATTTATAGTTTTGAAGTTTCATAATACTTACATATGACTAAAATATACACCATTTAAAATCTACTAGCCAAAATATCTTTCCTTGATAGCCACATCAGACAACCAGCCTCCACAACTGGTGGGAGGGAACAAGAGGGGTCTCTACATCTCATTGCAGCCTCCAAAGGCGGACACTGAGATCACCTGAGGGCCAAAAAAAAGGGGGTTAACAAGTCCATATATATTTATAAGGTCAAAAAAGGGGTATGTTTATTCTATAACATTTATTGGAGAAAGAGACAAGAGGAAGAAGATAGTATATAACAAACGTGCATGATGTATAAACATGCAAATAGATGCACAGAGCCAAAGTGCACCGACATACATTTTTAAGTGCACACTCCCGAGCCCACGTCTCCGCCCATAGCTCATAGACATGTATACTGAATGAACCCACCTATGTAGAAGAGGTGAAGAGGAATGGATAAGGAATGATGTAATATCCACAACTGGAGAGTAATCCTCATCCAGTATATAGTAACCCCCAAAGTGTTCTTCAAGAAAAGGTGGCAAGAATCTATAATAAATCATTGATGTCTATGTCTCTTTCTCCAATAAATATTATAGAATAAACATACCTTCTTTTCTTTGGTCCTTCCTTCTATTTTTTTTATCCCACTTCTTTGATTTCTTGCCCCCTTCCTTGCTTTAATTATTTATTTTCTTCTATCCTTCCAATGTTCTGCCTTCCTACTTTCCTTCCTAAGAGCTCCTTTTCTCCCTTCCACATCACTTTCATTCCCACCCATGCTTTTTTATTTTTCCTCGCTACCCTCTATGTTTTTTACTTTACATTACAATAAACATAGTCTGTATGCTATGAATCTTTTTCTTTCTATAGTGTGCATGAGATGGGACAGGTACCACAACTGCCTGGGCTCACTGGTAGTTCGTGGTTAAATTTTTTTTCAGTCCACCCAAAAGTGGTAGTTTCCTCATCAGTGAGGCTTGATTACCTGAGTCAGCCGCAGACTTGTTATGTGTCTTGGATGGAAAGAACTTAGTTCTCAACTCTGTTCTTGTCCATCTGAGAGTATTGGGTGCTTCTGCCCATCTTTGTATGTTCCAGCATCTCCGGCTGCATTTTACATAAATATATCCAGCAGGGAGAGGGAGACCCCTCTTTAATGGGCATATCATTTGTGAAGACCCAAGTGCAAAAATCTTAGACTCCCCAGGAGATCTAGGAAATTGTCAAATGGTTAAATTCTCCAGCATCTACAGTTTTGGGAGGACAGACTCAATATAGTTCTATATTGATCAATTTCTTGTGGGCTTATTGTTATCTGCCTTCATAATTTAAAAAGTTAAATTTAGCAAGACAATTCATCACTGTGCATAGTATATTCCAATAGTTTAATGTAATTTGTGATTGTTCCATATTGTTAAATCGTATATTTCCTTGGATCCGAAAAATAAAATACATAAAAGTAGCAGGAGGATTAATCTTTGCCCTTTAGGCAATAACCAAAACTGTGGGGGTTATTTACTGAAATTGGAGAGTGCAAAATCTGGTGCAGCTCTGCATAGAAACCAATCGGCTTCCAGGTTTTATTGGCAAAGCTGAATTGAACAAGCTGAAGTTAGAAGCTGATTGGCTACCATGCACACCCGCACTAGATTCTGAATGCTCCAGTTTTACTACACTTCCCCCTGTATGTCATTTTGACATAATTTTTTCCATGTTAGGACATTTTTGTTTATTTACATTACTTTAAATGGGTATAGATATAATTCACCTTACTCAAAACATCAAAAAATTTAATGTCACATTATTTTTTGTTTTCCAGGGAAAAGTTGCACAAACAGCTTGTATGTCAGCCTGCAAACACCTTTCCACATCACTAACACAGATGCTTCTGGACAGTGAACTCAAACAGATCAGCATGGGCGCCATCCAGCAATTCAACCTTGATGTCATCCAGTGTGAATGTAAGTCCATTGCTATAATCATCCACTGTTGGGTGTGTCTCAGTAATCTAGTGTATATTTGTTAATTAATCTTACTAAAACTGAACTCCAGGCAGCACTGGATGTTTTTTCTCTTTCCTGGACGTGTTTGCTCCTGGAAAGAAAAAAGCAGTCTAAAAAGCCACATGTTGCACACATGTTTATGCATGTTCATGCATTTGGCGTTAATGCATTCTATTGGACATTATTAATATTGATATATTCTGGCCATTATAATGCATTACTTTGCAATCGTGCATAAATGGCCAAACTCTCCTCTCCTAAATGTACTGGTGATTTTTTCTTTCATCCTGTAAACACTGCTCTTCTAATATGTCTTTATATGCCTGTGTGTACATGGACACATAGGCTAACATAGATGTGCTTTTACAGGTTGGAAAAAAAAAGCTAAAAAAAAAGTGGCATTTTTAAGCGCAGTGTGCATGAGCCTAAAATACACAAATTAATGCATCTTTGTATTCATTAATAAACCCTTAAATGTATTTTTTAAAGTTACAAATACAGACAAGAATAAAAACTCTCAACTAGCAACTTGATCAAGCTTTGTGCTGGTTTACGTAGTTTCAAGGATTCCTGTAATTCAGTCTCTAGATACAGCATCATTAAGCCTTGATAAAGTGGACCCCTTAGAACACTAGAAACATGAAAGTGTATTTTCAGTGAGAACACAGTTATTATTGCAATGTTTAACTTGAGTAAATAATTTAAAGTACTTTAAAGTGAAATATTGATGTCTCATTTTTCTTTTTTTCAGTAACAAACATGTTACGTTTACAAATGGCAATGCATAGAGCTGCCCTGAACCTCCTTATCTGGGGTCCCACGCCAGTGCTCTAGGCTCCTCCTCTTCTCAATGCGGCCCTATTGGAAGCTGCTTCCTATGGGAGTGCACCTGTGGGCTCGCTCCAAGCCTGCCTGTGTGCATCTGTTGACATACACAGCACAGCTCAGCACTGCCTCACACTCCCTCCTCATTGGGTTTAACTGACAGCAGCAGGATCCAGTGGCTCCTGCCTTTCAGACCCTTTGTAAAGAGCGAGAGGAGAGAAGACTGCAGTCGTGCACAGTGCTGAATTGATCCAGGAGTCAGGTAAGTGTTTAGAGCAGGAGGAGGGCACATTCAGTCCTAAAACTTTTTTTGCCTTAATGCAGGTAATACATTAAGGTAAAAAACAGTTTAGCTTTAGAACCACTTTAGCTTAAAGTATAACTAAGGGAACTTTTTTTATTTGTTTTGGACAGAGTGGAGATGGATTAGAACCCCTATCATTTTTTATTGCTGTGTGTGCCCCCATTAGGGAGATTCACTCTCTCTATTTGCCCTGTTTACCATTATCATTAAAAGTGAAAAAAGAAACTCCAAATTATGAGTTGTCACCAGAATAAAGGGGAAACCTTCCAATGAAGACACTAGTTCTGGTGACCTGGGGATCTCCACGGAATTCCCGTAATTTGCTGAGATTTCTTAATTCCTGTTTTGGCTATGGGACAGGAAGTGAAGGTATATCTCCCCAATGGGACACAGCTAGCAAAAAATAAACTCACAGGGGTTATATCCCTCCCTTACCTTGTCCACATAAAAAAGAAAAAAAGTTTTGCCTATAGTTCCACTTTAAAGTCTGCAGTGGTCACATGATGCAGTGATTTCCACTAGAGTTTGATACTAGAAGAAAGATGAGCAGCCATGAAATACGATAAATGGTGTCTATACCACCATTTTGGGTGCACTGCCTCCAGTTCTGATTAGGTATGAGGGATTTTGCATACGTTTTGGATCTAATCCTTACAATTAGCTAGGACTAGAACCTACATTATAAGGAGTGGGAGTTGAAAACCTGTAATAGGCAAATAGGCGTGTGAGGCATGAATATGTTTGCTTCACCTCACTTATCCACTAAACGAGATGGTCCAATCACCATAATTTACATTTTAGCATTTTGGATGTACAACTAAGATTGCTTTTGGTTTATGTTGTTTTGGGAACATGCTTAATGTGGATCTGAAGCCTATGTTATTATAACTTGTGTTGATGTGAATAATGTCTCCACTATGAAAACAATGTAATATTTAGTTGCAGCAGATTCCAGGAACCCATGTCAGATCTTACTGATCAGCATGACAATATTGTGGATCTGATATTTATATATTATTCATGCAGTGTGCTAGAAAGCTATATTATAAATGCACTTTGTGATTTGTATTGTAATTTAAGATGTCAGAATAATATGTGCCAGTGTGTATTTAATAAAGGAATTTCCTTCTTGTCATCACTTTCCTAAAACTCAGTTTTAACATGTCAGCCTCACTACTGATGTCACACTAATTAACTGTGCCACCTAGGAAATGTAGGGGCAGTATATAGCACAGCTCAGGGAGTATAGACCTTTATCTACTACAGAGTTTCCTTAGCAGCGTCATCAACCATCATAACATCAGCCTAACATCAACATCAGTTTCGTGCCCTCATTATATGTGTGTTTCCAGACAGACTGGCGACCCTTGTGGTCAGTGACTGGGGTTAGAGGCCATTGTGAGTGGGTGGAATAGGTATTCATTGAATATTTTGGAATTCTTTTCCTATATGGGTCCTTGTTGCTTCTTAACTAATGAATAGACATCTATGTTTAGAAAATGTGCAAGAGTCACGAATAACAGCTTCAAAGAGAAATGTGAGACCTATCATTCTGAATAATATATATGTAAAAACAGTCAAGATTCATTGTTGGAAGGGTTTGACCTTATTAGTGTTTGGTGGAATATTAGCAAATCTGATCTACTGGAAGAGGTTTTATTTTTAACGGAAAATGGCAACACGTGTTTTGTTCTCAGCTACTGGGAAACAATGGGAACATTTTACTTTGGAACCCCACTGTCTTAGTGCGCCAGTATTCTGTTGGAGTCTATTCCTTTTTTGTGTTTGCTGCCATTGCCAGTTACCAATAAATTGGTGCATATTAAGCTGGGGAGCTGAGACATAATGTCCACCTTGCATTACTTGTTCTGTGTAGGTGACCCACTGTATCCCTTGATTATAATGATAACCTGACCTTGTAAAATAAAGCAAATTGGCAGTAACAACTCTTAAAGTTTACCAAGCTCCTTAAAAACCAGCTGAACACCAAGCACCTAAATGCACTTTTTGAAAAAAAGTGTATGAGATTTATGTGAAATAAGGCAGGGCATCTGCAGGTAAGCCTTCGGCTACCGAGACTAAGGAGAGCTCCTTCTGTTCCATCTCTGGCCTTAGACTCCAAGACAAAACCAAGTGCTCACTTCTCAGAAGGCCTGGGCCCTAAAATTCAATAAAATCAGAAGCAAACTTGCCTCACTTGAAGGGGTGACCAGCAAGGCCAGATTCTCCCTGGCAAGGTGGATAAAACATCCAGGGCAGAAGTTGGGGAAATCCTTTCTCCCTTTGACTTGAAAGGTTCTCACAATGGTGGGGTTGGCAGCCTGTTGGGCTTGGAAGGAGTCATTAAAATCCTCTCAGTACAGGGTACTTTGCTGTCAGAGGAAACCCCACTTTCCATCAGCATCCTGGAACTCAGGGTAATTCAGTTGTCCCTTCAGCACTGGACATCTTGACTGCAGGGTCTCCCAACCAAGCTCGCGTTGACCTATGCCACAGTAGTGGCCTATATCAACCATCAAGTTCCAGAAGTCGCATAGCTCAAAGAAAAGTACATCTCATCCTGGCGTGGACAGAATTTTCAGCATTAGGCATCAGTTTTTAGTTCACAGGTTTGTTAAAGGCTAAGTTCACCTTTTTAGAAAAAAATAATGCATATATTTTTGCAGGAAAAATGTACATTTATTATTTGTATGTTTTTCACAGGAGCCTGCAGAGCATTGCATCCACGATCACTGGATCATGGGTGCAATGCTAGACTTTCTGTTACATAGCAGGAGGGAGTGTGAATGGACTACGAGCATGCTGACCAGCACATTTATGTTGAAGGACAAGCTGTCTGACATGGCTTATTCCTTTGAATGAATGATGTGCCTGTGGGAGCATAACCCCACAGAGCCCCACCTTTTACAATTTGTGACAGTCAGTGGGGGGGGGCTATGGGGGGCAGGTCTGGAGTATGTTACATGCTACACCCTAATATGTTACATGCTCCAAAAGGTGGACTTAGCCTTTAACTTCTTTTTAACAAACATCTGGATTTTTGGGCCTCATCTGATTTCAGTTTCAGGCAACAGCTGCTTCAACCCTGCTCTCTGTGCTCTAGTGAGCCCTTTCTTGGCCTGTTGTTTTGTAAGCCTGTTATTGTTTGTTTACTGTTTTGCCCATCCCTCAGTTGGGCTGCTTTTGGATGTCCCATGGTTAAGAGTAAAGATCTTTTATCCTGCATTGTATCATTAGGAAAATAGTATTTTTGACTTACCTGTAAAATTTGTTTTGTGTAGTAAAGGACACAAGTCACCTGAAGATAGCTGCATATACAGTACCTACCATTTATATTTTCAGGACAATCAAGCAGATTGACAAAAAGCATACACTCCAAAAGCTCATCCCGAAAAGTTGAATTCAAATTTAAAACCAACAAAAAAGTATCACAGATAGTACTGAATCATTTTTGTTGCAAATGCAATTAGTATATTCTCATGAGCACTTCAGTTCAGCTCAATAACAATATTGACACACCTTGTATGTACAGTCTATTGAGCTTGTACTGTTGTATTATATACAGTAGTTTTCAGCCCAGCATCCAAAGCCAGAATGCCTTGTGAGTAAACTTCAGAAACTGCACATATGAATGCCACAAAGCTCAGAAGTATATATACAGAACAAGCAGTTCCTTTTAAATAAAGCAACAAAGCCAAAGTTTTAATGATGATGGAATCATGGAGGAACACTAATCCATCTGTGGATGCTGCTGATAAGCACACAATCTGTTCATGTATAAAGAATGGTTTCATCGCCATGTGCATCGCCATTATTGGTTTGAACAGTC